TCTCTCTCTCTCTCTCTCTCTCTCTCTCTCTCTCTCTCTCTCTCCCCAGCGGATTAGCACAGACATCAAAGTCATGTAAGGCTACAGTAACCGAAACTGCCTGTGTGGAAGTGTTAGTGTGCACGCATCTGCCCCGAGTCCTGCCATGCGGTGACGCCACTCAATATTGACGAAGTGTAATAACACAATATGTTTATCATATTAGTGTCTGCAGCAGAGTGAGGGAGTTCACTGTGGCACTGAGGGAAGAAAACGATTGGTTTGCCAAAATAATTACACAAAATTGAAAAGCCACAGTTCGAAAGAACCACATGTGGTGGAGAAGAGCTCTCAGCACCTGAAGCTGTGGCAGGTTTTTCTTTTTATCAGATTTTCTGATTAGTCAGAAGCTGCTTTGAAATGAACTCCAGTGCAACCGCAACAAATAATACCACTGCTTCACACAGACATTCAAGACATGCGGGTGCAAAGCTGCCTGTGGATGTGGCAGGTGGGGGTTCGGGCGGAGCAGTGAGGTGTTATGGGAACACGGATGTGTCTACATGCCAACATGGAATCCAAACACTTTGAAATATGGATATGGATCGTCGGGAGGCCAGGCAGGCCTGAGGAAACTGGAGACCAGACTAAGAGCGAGAGGGGACCTATTCACAGAGCCTGTATGGGGGCAGGGGGCCGAGACCCATTCAACCTGCCCCGAGACGTAGGGACAAGGGTCCCATTACCCTCCTCTAGCCCCGACCTCCGTGAACTTGATCCCGGGGAACAATGTGAGAGGGGGGAGGGGTGGGGGAGTGAAGGGAGGCAGGTGGGAGGATAATATCTCTGGGAAATGAGCGAGCTTTCCTCAGTGACAATAACTGACAGGCATGGTTTCATTTCCCAGCTCTGCTCCCAAGGATCCAAGGCTGAAACGGGGCGAGGTGATCTGAAAACACAGGTGTGTCTTTCAGGTTGTTTCACAAAGCTGCACGCTCGCACTGCTTTTCTTCCTCAGCACAAAGACTTAAAGCTCCAGGTCTGCAAGTTAATTGAAAAAAAATTAAAAAAAGCGAAGAAAAAGCAGTTTGAACATTTCAAACTTTCATTTATGACATACAAAACGGAGAGCAGAGAAGAGATGAAAGAACATCATAAAAAAGGACTATTGTGTGTTCTGGCCTCAGCGAGTTATTGTGCCGATACAGACTGAAGGTCTGCTGCGCTTCAGACAGGAAGGACAAACAAAAAAAAGGACTTATTGAGAATCTTTGACATGAATTAGCCCGGAGAGGTGACATTAGAAGCTGCTGCATTCAGACTTTAAATCTTTGTTTCTTTAATAAAAAGCCAGACTGTGTCCAAAATCGTTCACTATTCAACACATGGTCCACTATTTCTCACAATACTCAGCAGTACATTGTTGCCTTTGTCTCGTTAGCCTTCATTTAAAAAGATTTAACGATTTAGCAGCGCACTGCGATTACATTGTCGGACAGTTAAAAAAAAAGATCCAAATCCAGAAATATAGTTTTCTCATTCCACACTTCCTCGTCAACACTCAGTGCCTACATTACCCACAATTCATCTCCATCCCCAACAGTTCAGTCAGATTGCATCCAGTTTACATTACCTCCCTCTACACTTTACTCTTTTCGCAGGTGTTTGTGGTTGTTGCAGCCTGTGGTTCTGGTATAAAGATGTTGTTGTTTCCTATTTGAGAGTTGGACGTCTGGTGATGAAGGACTACGACTGAAAGTTTGAATTTTCAATCAACTTTGTGCTGCCAGTGTGAAGGATGCTCACATCAGGATTTTTGGGGCCGATAACCGATCACGGGAGCTATTTGAAGCCATTTCTCCGCACCTGTCAATAACCAATTCTGCTCCTCTGCTGTATGTGTGTGTGTCATCCACGATTCCAGAAAGATTTCAATGTCCCTGACAAATGGGAGAAATTCCGGTCAAATGTTATCCGTTTAGTGAGCTTGAAAGAAATTGACAGGCAAGCTGCAAAAAGAATGACATCATTCTTTTCGGTTGAGTCTCCGTGACTTCGGGCTCCATCTCATGCTCGCCTGCTTTGGTTTCCGGAGGGCTGTAGCCTACCGAGTAGTTGGAAGCTTCATTAGCCCCTTTCACACAGACACTCTGCAACACCGCTGTACAAAAGATCCTTCAAGCCGGCTTTTGCCTTTTCACACCGAACCAAATAATGGCGCTATAATGTGGCCCCAGTGTGTGATTTCAGATAGCACGCCGGAGCAAAATTAAAGAGCTGGCGAGAAAGCTTAAAGACTATTGAAAAGGTTTCACCTCAGAATGAATGCGTCGTCTGATCAGCTATTCCAATCTCCCTTTATAGAGATCACCAATCACACTATTTAGAACGTATAACGATCGATCTGAGCACACTTAGAAAGAGGGAAGAAATCACGAATGCACAGTCAAGAGGAGAGAAGGCCAAGCATAGCAGCATTTTGTAGAAACAATTATTACACCATATACAGTATAGTAGACTCCATGTATCCAACAATGCAATGTAAAAAGTAGTGAACAAATATTGGTCAATAACGAGCCCATTACTACGATCATCCTCCAAGAAACAACATCTAACAAACTTTGTGCTCCAAACAACATGTGAACTGTGAACACAGGGCTGGTTGCTAAGTTAAGATTTCATTCTCAATAAAATGCATTCACTTTAGAAGTTTTTATGCTATTAAAGATTAAAAGTTGCAAAGACATTTCATGCCCCGACAATGGCGTGAGCCAGCACTCAATTGCGTTCCATTAGTTTCTAGAATCGTCTTATTATATAAATATTTGATCACATAAAGGTGCCCTGGTTTGTTTCTCCTCACAGTCTTCACACTAGTTGGCTTTTTCTTGTCACAGTCAGGTGATTAGGAAACTAACTTCATTAACAAAGCCCGCTGCAGGCTGTTAAATGACAGCGCTGCTTTGATTATATTGGTATTTGTCAGTGTGGAATAACTCTCCTCCTGAGGATTAAGAGAGAGGGCAGCAGGTTACCGCAGATTCCTGTCAAAAGCTCGGCAGCACACCGCGCCTTGTCCCGACATGACAGGCCAACCAGTTATTGCCGGAGAGGTGAAAGGTCAAGGGGGGAGGACGAGGAGGGGGTGTTAAAAGGCAACAGGAAGGGCCAAAGGGTCAAGCCAGTGCAGATACACGGCACTCTGTTCGCAGTCATTGTCTCGACCTTACAACCAGTGGATGCTAGCCGGGGCACGGAGACACAGTGGCAACAATAGGCACAGGAAAGCACACAAACTGGCATTGTTAGTCTCGTGGGTTTGTATACAAAGAGCCGGAACGCAGACAAAACAAAACACACAAGGCTGGCACACAGGGCAGCCTGTACAAAGTGGATCAGGAGATTTAGTTTCAATGTTTTTCGGGAGATTCCAGATGCGTTGATTGTCATTTGCAATGGTTTATGGGATCAGTAGTTCCTTCGCTCCTAAAATATTTACGCACACAGTCTTGTACCTTCGGCTTTTTTCCATTTTCCAATATATTTCGGCTCAGAATCAAATGTTTTATCGTCACAGTTCATCAAGGATTTTATGAAATGTCAGTGGATCGAATTATCGGGAATTTCTCTTGGGGAACTGTTCAAAGATACAAAGTTAATTAGAAATGCAATTCTTTTAGGGGAACATGGTTGACCGTTTATCGCTAAAATCAACGGAGATGTAAGATTTGCTGGTTGCAACCCGTCAGCTATCAAACCGCCCAATAAGTCATTTCACCACCGCTATAAATTTGGTACATTCCTTTAAATAAGTCCCCTAAATATAGCTTCCTATTGTTGGTTGTTTGCCCGACACCGATCACT